AGAGAAAATGCATTGAGTTAAGATTAGAAATCTGGCATTCAAACATCATAAAATGCTTAAGAATTGAATAAAATGGGTACATGATAGTTAACATTTAAAAATCTCTCTCCCTTTACCTCTTCCCACCCCTGTGTGTGTATGTGTAAGTTAAGTGGAGGTACCTGTGTTGGTTAGGATAACCTATGTTGCTGGTCCTCGCTTTTCACCTTAGAGACGTGTTCACTGCATCACACATGCCACACTAGCTGGCCCATGAGCCTTTGGTTATTGTCCCATGTCTGCCTCCCATCGTGCTGTGGGAGCACTGGATAGCAGAGGCACGCAATGGCTGTCAGCTTTAGGTCGGTTCTGGGATCTGGAATCGGGTCTCACACCAGAGGAGTGAGCCTTTTACCACGCAGGCGTCTCCCTGGCCTTACTCTCACTTTTATTGGCGTGTAGCTTGGTTGTAGATACAGAGCAGAGACTTTTCAAATGAATTGTTGCTAAAGCTTGTTCAATAAGCTTGTCAAAAGCTAGCTCTGGTTTCTGAATGGTTACAGACATGGTCATTTTTAATGTATCAATGTAAGTTCATTTAAAAATATTTTTTCTTAATTCTATGCAGTGAAATTAAACATAATGCCAAAAGTTTGGTTGGCCCTCTTTTGTAGTTCATTATTGTATCACAAAAGCAAAAGCAGAAATTTCAGATATTTTTCCAGCTTGTTAGAAATTAAACAATTACATATACATGAATGTTTGTATATTCCTTCCTTGATACTTACATATCTTTATTTATTTTTCATTTAATTGATCACAGTTGGACTTGAAACCCAAACAAAGCATAAAAGAGATATCATGATTTCTTATTTAAATTTTATTCATCTGTGTATTTTACTTTGAGGTTTAAAGAGGCATATTTGAAATGCTATTGTACAGCTTAGTCTTCTCAGTACTTTAGAAAAAAGTTTGTCTGAGGAGATAATCGTACCTAATGGTCTGCTTTAAATTTTGCCTCAGTCCAGACTATATAAAAGTCCATACTAGGGACAACCATGTTGGAAAAGAGCTAGTATATATACAAAACCCAACAACTTTATTAAATGTATGTTTACTATAAGTATATATGTGTGTATTTAGGGGGAAATATTTTAAACTATAAAAAGTCTCATTTTTGGAGCTACTTAGCCTTAACAAAAGGCTGGACTATCCTAGACTTGTTTTAATTTAGTATGAAAAATTTTATTAAATAAACCATATTGCAGTCTCAATTAGGGGACTGCCAGATTAAAGAAGGGGGAAAAATCTGTTTCCCATCAATTGCTCCAGGACACAAAGCAGATCTGTGTAGCTCTGTGTTATCCTAGAGTGTGTTAATCAGATACAAGGTGTGACGGAAGCCAGTGACAAGGGTTTCCCTGAGAGTGCCCAGACTCTGATAATAGGCTGGGGAAGCCTTCAGAATGTTTCAGTGGTTAACTAGTAAACAATGTGATGTAGGACTTCAAAAAGGATGGCACATTCCATGTAAAATCAAACCATAAGTCTTTTGTGACACGTTCGAGTTTATGGAACCTGAGAGCTTAAGATCCTAATGTCAGAAACTGAGAAGAGAAGAAAATGAAAGACAAACCATGTTTTCCTTTAAATTCAAGGTAAAATCGAAACTTGAAGATAGAACCCAGGGATATACCCCTCATGAAAAGAGCGTTTCAACCATGAGAAGTGTCTCCCTCGAGCGTTCCTACAGAGGCTGATAGAGCTGGATGATCATATGTGCTAGCTGTGGGTGAACCGCTTACATTCGCATGGCCGTTTCTTGCTGTGGGATGGAAAGTGGGCATTTCGGAACCACAGAGCGATGCCATAGGGAACTGATAGCAATAGCTTGCCTTTATTCATTTTTGACTCTACTCATTTGGGGGTTCCACCACTCTTAGCTATTTGGGGGTAAATCTTTAATACCTTTATGAAGTAAAAGATATTTATTATAGGGTTATATTTACAGAATGTTAGCACTTAAGTAATTCCTAAATTTTTATTTTTTTACAAGTGAAAAACCCGAGACTACAAATAATATCTTTTAGCAAGATGTATACTTCAGTTAGCTGCAGAAGTATGACTGGGAACTAGATCTCTTGACTGCTACTAGATTTAAAGTGTTTAAATGAATAGTATGTCACAAAACAGATGCTTAGTTCTAAAACATTTTGTTTGGTAAATATTAGAAAACATAAGTTAGGTTATCACTCATTAGAAGAAACTAACACAATATATTGTTTTTAAAATGTGTCATACTTAGCCTCTAAATTAAAAAGATGATAATTTTCAACATGAGCTATGTGTGGTGAATGACTCACACATGAAGGCACTGGCCACCCAGCCTACCGACCTGAGCTCTAGCCACAGGCTCCACATGGTAGAAGGAGGGCCAGAAGCAAGGTTGTCCTCTGACCCCCATGACTGCACACCATGGCACTAATGCACCCACCCACAGTGAATAAATAAGCGAATAAACTTGAAATTCAGAGACCCATTAAAAACCACACACACATGCGCACATACACTGGGATATAAGGCAGTTTTCTCTACATAAAGATATTGTATTTTTAATAGTGTTCATATTTCAATAAAAATACTTTTGCAAGATCAAAATATTTTCAGAAAGTAATGTTATAGCTCATTTAGATTTTTAAAAAGTCTTTTAAAGACTTGATCACCTTGATTGAGATTTCTTGTCCTTTGAATTTATAATACGTTGTTAAAACATAGAAGTATTCGTATCTATTAAAGCTCAAGGAACCTCTCATGCTGGCTCTGCTGAATATGGCCAAATGTTTTTGGTAGCAGGATTCTGTAAATATTGCTGAAGCTCTTGTAAGATGTAATTTTCTATTTCCTAAGTGGTAACAGCTTACTACTGAATAACCTCCCTCCTTTTACCTTCTAATTTTGCCTTTTTCCCCAGAGTGTTTTTGTTGTGACCCTTTCAGCAATAATACACGTCAATCATTATGCTAGTCGCAGAGATTAGACCTGTTTTGAGTGCAGTGCTGAGGGTCAAAGGCCATTTTAGTTATTAAAAATATATACTTGAAATCAGAAAAGGCTTCTTTTAGTTTCATTTTCCATGTGTGTAGCATGCAGAGGATAGAGGACACCTGGCTGGAGCACAGTGTGCATGCAGAGGTTAGAGGACACCTGGCTGGAGGCAGTTTCCTTCTGCTCCGTGGGTGCAGAGATCAAACTCAGGACGTCAGGCTTAGCTGCTAGCATCTTTGGTCCCTTTGTCTACTGAGTCATCTCACCAGTGCACAGAAGCTTATTTTTAATGAAAACTGCAGTATAGTCTGTCATTCCTGGTGTATATGTATTTACTCTTATATTGTTGTGATGCATGAGGCTGAGAGGACAATTCAGTAATAAATTGATCTTGAAAAAAAAGAGGAGGGCGAGATTCTTAAAGGAATGCATGGCATGACCTTGTCATATTTGCTGCTAACTTCTATGCTCACTGTATTAAAAAAAAATTGTTTTACTAGAAGAGTTTCAAGGCAGCCATGGATATTCATGGATATTCTTGGTTTCTGTGTTTGCAATCTTGTCAGTCTTCTTAATATTTTACATTTAAGTTCTTCAATTGTTACACTGCTGAAGAGGAAGGATGGGGAGAGACTCAGGTAGTATGAAGACCTGAATTCAAATCTCTAGCATCCACTTTTTAAAAAGCAGGTCAGAGGCACCTATTATCCTACCACTGGGTCGGCAGGGAAGGAGAGTCCCTGTGGCTCACTGGTGATCCAGCCTAGACCACTCATTGAGTTCCAGGCTGGAGAATGACCATGTCCCCAAAAACAAGGTAGATAGCCCGAGTAACAACACTCAAGGCTGACCTTCCTGACCTTCTCTATGCACATGCGCCCATACATGTGAACATGAAGACACAGAAAATATACACACACATAAATACCATTAAGTGTACATAAGGTAAAAAGGAAGCTGAAGTTTCTGGGCTTGTGATGAGCCTTCTGCTTATACATTTATTAGATATTTTTTTAATTTTTTAACTTTTAATATTTAGTGTGTGTGTGTGTGTGTGTGTGTGTGTGTGTGTGTGTGTTTACCACAGTCAGAGGGCAGTAGTCATTTCTTTCCTTTCACTGTGTGGGTTCAAGTGATTGTACTTGGGTCATCAGACGTTGATGCAAATGCCTTTGCCTTTTGAGCCATGTCGCCAGCCCAGATGGATTTTTGTTTTGAGTTAGGATAATAAAATATTATAAAATGGTATGAGATAATAACTGAATAAGGTGTTTTCTTTTTTTAGAGTATAGCTATGGTAGATAAACTTTATGAATATATTAGGGAGTGTATCTTTTATCTATATCTGTAACATCTCACAAATACTATTAGGAAGCCACTTTTGCTTTTAGTGGTATGGCTCAGCTGTGGTTTTATATGCCCTGGGCCACGACTGAATTTCAATTACTATTTTTACACCAACAACTCAACTCATGTGCTTGAAACTTAAATTCTAATAAAAGAGTCAAATTGTATGTTTCCCTTGAATATATCTTTGTTCAAATAATTCAAACAGATTTTTTCATTTTTTAATCAAAGCCAAAAGTTAGTTTTAGCTTTTTTGCCAAATGAAATAAGCTACTAATCAACTATTATTTTTAAGAATGCCACTTGTTTCTAAAAGCTAAAATAAAAGATCAGAAACATTTAGTTCTGGCATTTCTTGTGGCATTAATAGGATTTCTGGTGTTATAAGGTTTATTCTTGGACTATGGCTGACTTGTAACTAAGTCATCTTTTAGGGATAAGAGAAAAGCCAAGTCACCTATTCAATGACCTATTTGGCATATACTTAGTTGTTCTTTATGGCTGAAACACAGTTCTAAGCAGGTATTTTTAATTTTCCTTTGACCCAAATGAAGGCCCTCTTAGAAAAATGTTTCTGACCAGTAAGCAAGTAGACTTACATGGTAACACTTGCTGCTTGTGTGTAATAGGAATATGATGAAGAATGGGCAAAGAAAATTCAGAGTGAGAAGTTTCGCTGGCATAACTCTCAGTGGTTGGAGATGGTGGAGAGTCGTCAGATGGATGAGAGCGAACAGTACTTGTATGGTGATGATCGAATTGAGCCATACATCCATGAAGGGGACATTCTTGAAAGGCCTGACCTTTTCTACAACTCAGGTAAGGTGATAACCAAAGCGAAAACACATGCTTCATTTGTGTGCTATAAAAGGGGGCTTTTATCTGCCAGTCAAGCATGCTCCCAAACTTTGTAATCACATTTTTAGTATACAAGCAGTCTTCTGTTAATAATTTCAGATAATAGTTCCTGCACATAGAAAACTAGTAAGATTTTTTTCCCAGTTAGTCTTTGGTGTAACCTCCATTTAAAGTATGTGTAGCCAGGATAGTTAATGGCTGTTAGAAGCTTCCTGTTTTCTAGGATGTGTAAGTTAAACATCTCCAGGATTTCTGACTTCTACTTAACAATGTGACACTCATTTGTTCTGTGTTCTACATCTATTAAATTATCTTATTAATTTTATTTTGTTTTCTTATTTTATCTAAGCAGTTTAATGCTACCATTACTTTGTTTTAATTCTAGACTATTGTATTACATATGGTGATAATTCGGAATATTTAGAGCTTTCCCTTCTAAACCCTGCTAATACTTTTAAGATAATAGTCTAGCCGGGCGGTGGTGGCGCACGCCTTTAATCCCAGCACTTGGGAGGCAGAAGCAGGCGGATCTCTGTGAGTTCGAGACCAGCCTGGTCTACAAGAGCTAGTTCCAGGACAGGCTCCAAAACCACAGAGAAACCCTGTCTCTAAAAACCAAAAAAAAAAAAAAAAAAAGAAGAAGAAAAAGAAAATAATAGTCTAAACCAGGCACACACCTTTAATTACAGCACTTGGGAGGCAGAGGAAGGTGAATCTCTGAGTTTGAAGCCAGCCTGGTCTACAGAGCAAGTTCCAGGACAGGGACAGACAGGGCTACACCGAGAAACCCTGTCTCAAAAGACCAAAATTAAAAAAAGATATTATTCAAAATTACACAAATGTATCTATTATAACACTGTTGAGCATGGCTGTCTCCAGGGGTAATGAGTTTGGCACAGAGACAGTAAACCATTCTATATTTTACTTTAAATGTTTTTACATTATCACCAATATTAAAAATACCGTTTTGAAATCATTTATACTTGAGGAGACAGAAGAGTTCCAGTAAAGACTTGTGAAAGGCTTAAAAAATGAAAGTGTTAGCTTGACTGGAGGGCCCTGGGTCGTAGAAAGCTTTCCTAACCATGCGCTCTTGTCTGTTACCAACAAAAGAAAGAAAGAATTCAAGTAATCCTAACCAAATTAATGGCAGTTTGTGTACGATCAGTGATTGAATGCTAATATAACTTGCCATTATATCTAATCACTAATAATTGATATCATATTAATCAGTATACTGTTCACATATTCACTTATGTATTTCATAAATACATATTGAAATTTTTCACTATTACATACCATTTTATATTTAATAAAGGCACCTGAATTCCAAAACTTTTCTGCTCCAGTTTGCAAATGGAATAGCTTCCCTCCTAACCAAACTCTGAAGCAGTTAGGAAGGGCTGCTCCTTTCCAGCCTGTAGATCATGTGCTCCAGGCAACCTGGGTTTCTGAATCATAACATGTAACTCTCCCTTCCATGATCAGAATTTATGAAGGAAAATAATACAAAGTATATGATTCAGAGGAATCCTTATCAATCAGTTCTCAATATTCAAAGATAATTGTTGGAGGAGGGGCCACATATTCGTCCCGGCTGCCCAGAACCAAAATAACCATTATATATTAATTAAAATGCTACTTGGCCCATTAGTTCTAGCTTAATTTAACCCATTTCGATTAATCTTATATCACCACGTAGCTGTGGCTTACCAGATAAAGTTCCAAGTGTCTGTCTCAGGTGGCAGATTCATGGCTCTCCCTGACCCCGCTTTCCTCCTACCATGCTGGGTCAAGCCAGTTCTTTATTCATTAACCAATAGAAGCAACACATAAACAGAAGGACCTCCCACACCAGATAATCATTATTCATAGTATCTTCAACTTTGGTTTTTAATACAATTAAAATGTCAGAACACATTTCTAAAAATTAATTCATTTAAATCAGTGTCTTAGAATATAAGTTGATATTTTCTGCAAGACTCTTTAGAATTTAATCATAGTATCTTTGAAGTTACACACATACGTGTGCATGTGTGTAATTATATGTTTTATGTATCTATCCATAGACATACATGTATGTGTATATATGTATCTTGTATACTGAAATTTAGAAACAGTGACTACTGCTGGGAAAGTAAGTTGTGACTATTTGACCATCCCTAGGCATCCTTTGTCTTTTGTCTTTTACATTCCTTCATCTGACAGAAGATGCTGAGCTTTTAGCAGTGCAGGCTTTATGTTGTGAGTTTGGAGATTTGGATTCCTACAGACAAGTTCTCAATACTTTTCATTTTATGAATTTTTGCCATTTGTTTCCATGAAGTCCACCAGGGATTAGATGAACCTCTGTGTCATTTCTTGATGTATTGCATAGAGATCTAGACAATGTCTCCCCCTTTTGTTGTGTACAGTTATATTTCAGAAACATCAGGTAAATTCTTTGTGTTGGTCTTAAGTGTAGAATTAACATCATTTGGTATTTTACTTATTCTACAATTGACAGGTTTCTCATATTCTCATCCTGAGTTATTTTGGTTTTCATTTTGCAAAGTAACTTGAGTTTTTTAATCTTAACCTTGTTAACATTAACCAGATTGCCACAAAATACTAAATACAAAGTTGAGTTTTTATCTTTTTAGCTTCTTTCCTCTCATTCTGTTGTGTTAGATTTCCCCATGATTTTGCTTTTGTATCTTCTCAATGTTTACCCAGTATTTGATTCATAGAATCTTTAACTTCTAGCAGATGTAAAATCAGAACCAAATGTTACTTTTAGTTGAAGTTCAAGAACTTTAAATTTAGTAAAATAATAAGAATAATACCCATTATGTATGTAGGTGGAGTTTTCCGTTTAGACCACTGATCAGCACTGTCCTGCCAACCACTCCCCAAATAACCACACAAAGACTTATTAATTTTGGATGCTCAGCCAATACCTTAGGCTTGTCTCCAGCCAACTCTTACAACTTAAATAAACCCATTTATATTTATCTGTGTGCTGCCATGTGGCGCGTTTACCTCATCTATGACCTTCCCATGTTGCTCCTTATGCATCTGGCTCACAACCCTGTGACTCCTCCTCTTCTTCTTTGCACTCTTTTTACCTTCAAGTCCTATCTAATCTCTACCTGTCCAGCTATTGGTCAGTCAACTGCTATATTAAGCCAATCACAGTAATGTGTATCACACAGTATAGAGGACTATCCTGCATTTATATACTAACAACTCAACAATTAAATAACCACCAAAGCCATTAATTCATGATTTGTACCAAGTTACTAGTGTGGAAGTTTTATTAAAGTACAAAGCACTATGCCTGCTCTTTTGCTAACTATATTAGTTAAATTTAGAATTTGAGCAATTTTGAATACACTTTTGTTTGTTTTGTTTTCAGTGGAAGAAATGTTTATTTGGCTCATGCTTTCAGGGCTCTTATGGTGGGGAAGGCATGGTGTAGGAGAGCTGTTCACATCTTGGCAGCACAAAGCAGAAGTGAGATGATGTTCTCAATCAAGTATTTTGAGAGGATAACAATGGGGTTACTAGGTGCCAATGATGTGTCAGTGAATAAGGCAGGGTCTTTGTCCTTCTGGAGCTATCATTCTAGGAAGAGTTGGGAGACAAACAATATGCAAATAAGTAAAACAATTGCAGTGTGGTATGTTGAATCTCCCTTGAATACACCTTTATCTCAAATAACTTATGTATATTTATTTATTTGTATGTTGTGGCTTGTGTATAGAAGCCAAAGAACAACTTGCCTGAGCTGGTTCTTTTTCATCAAGTGCATCACTCAGGTCAATCAGGCCATCAGGCTTGTCTGCAAGGGCCTTTACCCAATGAGCCATCTCACTGCCCCCTCAAACAAACGTCATTTAAGTCCTACTGATATTTGAAGAGTCAAATCAGTTATACCTTTGATTCTTCCTCTCCCCAAGTTAGATATTCTAACCCCTATAAACAGTAATTTCCTCTATATTTTATTGTGCTAATACTCACATGATACATATATCTACTGTTGTCTATAATTTATAAATAAATTATTTTATTGTATCCAAAGAGAAATTCTTTTGTAAGGAAATTGTATGTTTTAATTGTGTATATTTTTCACAAAATTGATCACACTATTATCATGAAAGTATTATATAGAAAATAATCATTTGGTAACTAAATAATATGCCAGTTATAGGCATAGTTCATTAGCCTGATCAGTATGACCTGGCCAGTATTTCTACATTCAATGATATAGCACAGGCGACTCACAGAGTCCTCAGAGCCTTGCAAACAGCTTATCCTAAGGCTTATACTAAGGGTTTGTTCTAGGCTTAGGACAGCCTGAAGCCAAAACACATGTAACTGTTATTCCTCTGCATTATCCTACAAATAGCAGATCATTTAGAATCTTGGGGCAACTGAGAAAGTGATACAATTCTTACATCATTTTTAAGAAATACTAACAGGCTGAGATTTAGAAGAATAAATGTTTATAAGCAAAAACAGCAGTGTAGAGCTCTTCAGGAAATCAAATATATCTGATAACCTGATGGTATAGCTATATAATAATTAATACCTAATAAAGACCAAGTCATCAAGAAGTATTTACATTTTATACAGCTTACCCATTTAACACAATGTGCAAATCACGTTTATTTAAAAATAAACATTTATATACATGTCTGTGTATGTTTTAATGTTTACCATTTAAATTGTTAAGTGTTTAGTATCAGCAAATTATTTTTGGTATATTCTCCAAGCATGCTGTGTAATTAAAGCTCTCTGGTTATAAGATGAGACGCATGCTGAAGTATTACTGTTTACCAGCATTGTGGTGTTCCATGCCTCCTTTACCATGATCTTTTGTTATCCTGTCCCTGACTATCACAAAGAATGCCTTTATCTTTTCCTGCCTTTTCTTTACCCACAGTACTTTAAGTCCCCTGGGGAAAGTCTACCTGCACTGGTATTACCTAGCACACAGTAGGGATTAGGTGACAACTCTATTATGATGATAAAATGTGGTGACCACTTATGTTGTATTGCCTTCTGTGCATACTCTATACTCTCAGGACAACAGCATGCCATTCTGACATTTTTCTTTCCAGACTAAATAAATAGGTTTCTAATGTGTTGCTCAATAAGGTAATTCTATTTTATTCCCTGTAAGTATGTTTCACTAGTTACTGCTTTGACTTTTTCTAGATGGATTGATTGCTGCTGAAGGAGCCATAAGCCCAGATTTCTTCAATGATTTTCACCTCCAGAATGGAGATGTGGTTGGGCAGCACTCATTCCCCGGCAGGTAAGTTATGTTCCAAGAGAGAACTCAGGTGTGGCATCTCCTTTGTTTTGAAAAGCTAGGGTTTTCTTCAGTCCTCAATATCTCTGCCTTTGTTATTACAAGGAGGATAAAAACCTTCTATTTCTCTAGGAGAATGATTATTTTTCAGCTAGTTTATTAAAAAATAATGTTTTATTACTTTCAAAAATATTCACTGTCCTTTGAAATAGATAGTAGTGTGCAAACTAACAAACTCAGTTGTTTCTAGGTGTGTTTCCTGGTGTATTTCCTGGTGTGTCCAAAACAAAATATGAAGACACACGGCATATAGTTTAACATTCATAGAGCAGTCTGCTAAAAAGCTCTGTCTCGACTAGTAGAAGACTTTATTTATCTGTTTGTTTGTTTATTGGGAGGTATCAAGACGCAGTTTCTCTATGTACCCTGTCTGTCCTGGACCTCATAGACCAGGCTGGCCTTGAACTCACAGAGATCCACCTGTCTCGGCCTCCTGAGTGCTGGGATTAAAGGTGTGCAACAACACTGCACAGCAGTAGAAGACTTATAACTGTAGGATTAGCAGTAAGTAAAATACATAAGGAAAACAATATCTCATAAGACAGCATTGCTTTTCAATATAATAAAGTTCACTTCAGCAGCCGCCCAGCTTCATCAATCATGTTACAGATTTTTAAACTATTGCTAAAATGTGTTGACATTTTCTTCCTTCTGCCATCACTAAGGTTTAACGCTTTCCTTCAGTCTGACAGTTGACTTTCAACTGAAATCTCTCTTTCCCCAGCAGGTGTTAATTGAAAGTGACTTCTTGATTAAGGGTGGGACTGTGTGTCCCTGTCTCCTTCCCTGTGCTGGGATTTGGTCCCATGCAAGTCTTGTGCATGCTGTCTGTCAGTCTCTGTGCATTCCCATGTGCGTCAGCCCTATAGTCTCTGTAAGATGCTTGTTTCCTGGGAGTCATCCACCACCTATGCCTCTTCCTCCAAGAAGATCCCCGAGCCCTAAGAGTAGGGGTTTGATAACTACTTTCCATGTAGGGTGAAGGGCTCTGTGCCTTGCCCAGTTATGAGTTTCTGTGTTAATTATCATTGATTGCAAGGAGTTTGTCTGAAAGGGTTGAGTGATGTCCTATTAGGAGTCATTTTATCGCTGTATTTCTTTAGCATAAGAGCAGGTTTTCTCCTAAGGCCTGTGACTTACCTGTTCTCAGGTTCTTGGCCGCTTGGTCAGTGGCAGGTATGGGTTCCATCTCATGGACAGTCTTTGAATCTAATCAAAAAGTGGCAGTTATTCCTATAACACTTGTGCCTCTATTATGCCAGTATGATTTGCAGAAAGGTTGCTATTGTAGGTTGCAGTGTTAGTAACTAGGTAATACTGAAGATTTCTCCCTCCCAAGTAGCCTGCAAAGTACCTTCCAGCACCATGAATGCTATAGGAGTGAAGTGTCTAGTTGGGCAGTTGGGCTCAGTTTCTCCATGGTCAGTGGCATAAGTGAGCGGTATTTCAGCAATATATCTTACTTTGAAGCTGTGGAGGGTAATCAATAGCAAAGGCTAAATCAATTTAAGTGATGCATTATCTGTCTTCTCCTGACCGGTATGTTATAACTCTCAATGATCAGTTGAAATAGTTGAAATAAACTTTTTAATATAACTATAATTATAATAGTTGATATAAATATTATTGATCATCTAGTGTATACAATCTAGTTTACAGATAGCTATCTTTTGATTTTTTTTTACAAAAAACATTTGACTTTTGATTATTTCTGAGGTGTCTGACATTCCAGTTATAAATAATTAAATACAGTCTCTTTAATTATAAATCTATCACAGTATTAATGTTTTCCATAAAATTAAAAATAAAAGATAATTTGGGTATATGGTCTTAATATTTATAGCAAAAAATTGCTTATATCATTTATAAACCTAATTGTTCTACCATTGTAATTATTCTTCCCTGTATGTTTCTTATCATCCTATATCATCCTATAGATACTGCCAATCTAAATAAAGCAAACTGCTACTAATTTTGCCTTCCTTAAATAAGACTTATATTCATTTTTATGTAATTATATGCCTTTAAAGAAATTAAACATTTTGATTAACATTGAATAAATAGTCAGAACTATGGTATATACCTATGACCTCAGCCCTTGGGGACATAAGTCAAAATGCTTCTAGGCCAGTTGGGGTCATATGGTAAGACCCAGTCTCAAAAAATACCAGTATGATAATTGGATTGAATATACAAGTCAATAAATCTTGAGACCAATTCAACAATGACTATTATTTTCAATGATAGTTTTATAAAAGGACATAGCTTTATTGAGAGATAATTAATGATAGAGTTTAATGTTTAAATATTTCAGTATTTTTTATTTCTTTTAAATTTTAATGACTGAGAATATTCAGGTAGGACTTTTTTATTGAAAATTACTGTGATAAATTCTGTTATGAAGTAAAGAAGCCACTTAAATATTTTTACCCTTGAAAAGACTCTGGAAAGACTCCTTTATAATCAAAAAAGTAATGTACTTACTGTAACTATCTTGATTTGAGAATTTGTCCTTTAAAAAGAACTTTTCCTAAGAAAATTTGTCTTTTATCATCTTTTATAACTTTATATGCTTTAAATCCTATAAGCATATCACTTTTTATTTTTATTTGCAGAAGAAACAATTTACTGTTGTCTTTTTTGTAGCTAATAAGTCAAATGAAAGAGATGCTAATGAGTGGAGATACAGTGTCTGCGGGCTTGTCATGGACCTTTTACGCATTCTGTTGGAGTTATTCTGGAATAATTCTTAGTTAAATACATTTTATTCTGGAATAATTTACTTTTTCACCTATTTAATATTTTTATAATTATTCTTTGAGAATTTCGTAGATACATGAGTTGTATTTTGATTGTCTTCACCCTCTTCTTCCTCCCTACAACTCCTCAAAAATAGGATTCGCTTTTGAATATAGCTATTTTCTCCTTTGATAATAGCAAACGATTGATCTTCAGTTAGGTGTACTTATTTTGATTGTGGAAATATTTAGGCATATTGAATGCTATATAATTATTCACATATTTTGCTATGGTGATTTTGGTGTATAATGTTCCTGATCTGAAAATTATACTAGTGGCTAGCTTTCGGTTTCTAATATCTAGTAGGTGGACTTTAAAACTCATCAAAGAACATCCATTCAAAATGCTAATTATATTATTAACGTATTTCAAATAATATAAGAATATTTCAATAAATGTTCCACTCACTAACCTGAAATTGTTGAATTCTTACTTTCACTTCTCCTGGAATTGAAAAGAAGAACTTAGGCTTTAAACAAATATTGTCCTTATGGATTTAAACCCTGACAATCCTGACTCTAAATACCTTTAAAAGGGGCAAGTGTTGCATCTGTGGTGCTTCCCCTAAGCCAGAGGACTCGCAAATTCTCCCCTGCTTCTTCATTACTGTTTTCATAGATAAGCCTAGTAAAGTTATCCAGGGGAAGAGTAATAGAAGATTAATGTATAAAAGGTAAAACTGTATCACCAACATTGTTTTTAATGATTGCCAGCGATATGTGGGACAGTGCGTGAGACAGATTACAGAAGTGGAAAGCGCCACCTGCCAATCAACTCCCGTGGCTTTTCAGGCTTTGTTATGGGAGCATTTCAATTTGAGTAGATTCCTGTAAAGTAGTTGATCCCAAGTGACTTCTGGTAAAGAATAAATTACTAATTTATATGACATATATATTTTTTAATTGTTCAAAGGATGATTTCTTTTTTCCTTAAATGATGTTTAGTAAGTAAATATATATATATATTAAAATCTGAGAAACTAAGTCAAATTGAAAGACGTGTTAAACCTAATCTATATTGTTGTTTTTCCTAAAGTCCAAGTCAAAGGTGCTTCATAGTCCTAATGCCGGCATCTTTGTAATATGGTGAGGCAGTTTAATTGGAAACAGTGAAAGCTGTTAAACTCATCTATCTCAGTCTACAAGAGAGACCAGACGTTTGATAAAATAGATACTGGCAGTTGGACAGCAAATCCTTGGCTTTAGACATGTGTCACTATTGGTTTGAACCTCTTGGCGCCAGGATTTCCCGACATTTAGAGCTAATGCAAAATGCATTAGGGCTCCAGGCATTAGCTATGGGGTTGCCAATCAGAGTGTCAAATGCAAATCTCCCAAGTCTGAACTGGTGTTGGGGGTAAAGTGGGACTTGGTATTGAAGCTAATTAAAAATAATGGGAGCAAGGCGAGGTGATTTTTTTCCTATTATGTACTACGTATTCGTGCCATATTTTTGGAGCTTTTTTTATTATAACTCTTACTTTTCAAGACTAACAAGAACCTCATGTTAAGAGTATCCTTAAACTGCTTCCAGCTTTTACAAATCAGGTTTTGTTGCAGTAAAAATGGTCCATTTTCGTTTTATAGGAATCCAATTTTCATAAACTGGAAAAAAACTACAGAGTCTGCTTAAGTTTCCTTGGGGCTTTGAAAAATAATTTTCAGAGAGCCTGGCATTCTTTGTGGTTGGTAGAGAGATGTCAGTCACTGACTATCTTGCTGAGGTCAAAGTGGACTGGACTTGCACAGGGACCTCTTCTCTGCCTCCTCTGTCTTCATTTTCTATGTGTGTTATATCCTTTTGTTTTCTTTCTTGGAGTATTTTACTATTATTTGTTTTGTACATAAGCTTGTATACTATACATGCATGCCTTTTGCTGAAGTCTCTTTATTTTGTGAACTGTTAAATAACAGCTGAAATGTTAGTTGCAAGATCATAATGAATAGAAGTAACATTATTTCTCTAAATAAAATATATGCTTTATAGTGATTTTATGTATAATTTGCACTTACATATTTATTGAGTAGAAGTGCATGCCAAAGCATGGATATGGAGGGCAGAGGACAACTCGCAGGCATCAGTTCTCTCTTCCATTGTGGATCCTAGGTATTAGACTCAGGTTGTCAGTCTTGCCAGGTAGCATT